TTTCAAACTGCTGGCCTGGTGGTTCCCAGCCCAGTCCTTAAGTACTGCCCCGAGCTAGCCTCTGGTACCATGCACTGCTGAGCAGACCTGTCTGCCCTAGGCCGCTCCAGAAGCTGCTTTCTCTCCCCTCAGCTGCCACTCAAGAATCAAAAGGTTTGTTTCCTATGTCCCTCTCTTTCAAGACCCTGGAGCCCTTACAACAAAGTGGACGGATGACACCAATTGGGAAAACCGCGTGGGAGCCACATAGGATGTCCGCGTGCTCCTGAGGCAGCTTGCCACCAGGCAGGCGTAGCCTCACTCCCTCACTCGGTGCCCTCTTCTGACAGCTGCCCTCCCGTGGTTCTCTAGCCTGTGGCGGGGTTCCCTCGCTTGTCGCGGTGTCCGCGCAGCACTCAGATGGGGGTTACCAGAGAAGCTAAAGGTTACAGCCAGGTAAGAAAGGGTCTGGACACAGTTGCTCAGTCAGGCAGTGTCTTCCTGCTGTGCTGGCAGACAGGCCTCTCTGCTCAACTCCTCGGCCTGACCTCTGTCCTGCACAGGGAGTGTTACGAAGTTCTTCCAGGACCGCCACTAAATGCCCAAAGGGCATGTCACACCACCGTTAGCCCCAACTGTTACTCCACGTGTCAGTAAACCCAGCTCCCCCAGTTAAGTGCCTAGAGGTGCCCCACTCCACAAGCCCACTTGCTTTCTCAAAAGCACTCAGCCTGACTTGCTCTGTGGGCTGGGGAGTCCTCTGCTCTGTCATGCGCTGGCTGCTGTGCTAGCATTAGAAGGATCTCTTGTATGACCAGGCTTCTTGTGTAGGGGTCTCAGGGTCCAAGTGCCGTGCTCCTCTCCTGGCTCTTCTTTCTTGCTGGTAGTGAGATCCACACTCCTGGTTCTGAGATGCCTCCTCTTACACCTAGCAGGATGGCAGGCAGTCACAGTGTACCATCAGTACACCACGGGGAGGCCCCCATCCCCACCCCCCTTCAGACCCAGCAGGAAAGCAAAGGTTTAGTGGGAGTAACAAAACCATGTTCCCAGAGCCTGATCACCCAGCAGCAGGTCAGCATTCAACACAGCCCTTTACACCAGCAGAAAAGTCCCCAACGTGGAACTCTCAGGCCTTGGTGTTCAATGCAGGGGACTGAAGACCCCGTGACACTCCGTGTGAAAGGTGGCCCCCATTCAGACAGCCGCAGCCCCTTCCCATCCTCCTCTCCGCTTACCTCACTGTCTCGGGCTTACCGCTTCTGGTCTCTAGCCAAGTTAGGTCCCCCTGGTGCGGACCCTCACTGCCATCGCGTGTCTGTGCGTCCTTGCTGCTGCCTGGCTGACGGTCAGTAAAAGCAAGTGTGAGAACCGATGTGGAGAGGACAGCGCCTGATCGGCCCTTCCTGAGGCCGATCGTCTTGGGAAGCAGTGTGAGACTGGCCTCGTCCTCCTCTGCGCCCTCTGCTCATTCTGACCCGCTCCATCCCTCCCAAGGCATGTGCTCATCTGCTGGGTTACAGGCCATCCTGTCAATTGTGCGTTTTACTGGGCAAGTTAACAGGCTGTAATTCCAGATGAGAAATGTTCACGACACCGTGCTTCATGTCAGCCCCACCTGCGGGCCCGTCTTTGACTTGAGGTTCCTGCCCTGCTCTGGCAGTGGGCAGAGCTCGTAGGGCTGCTGCTAAGTGCCCAGGGAGCACGTCCTTGAGCTTGAAGGCACTTGGTGGGACTCCTGTGAGTCAGCACACTCAACCTCTGTCCCTGCCTCTGTTGGCTCTGCCGCTGCTGCTGCCCCACCTTTCCACCCCTGGATATCGGGATAAGCTTCCGTGCGCCGGGATCTCAGGGTCCAGAGGGCCTGCTCCAGCCTGGCTCATCTTTCTCAGTAGGGAGTCCCCCCCTGCATGCTCCTGAGATGGTGGTGATAGGTGCCGTCCTGGAGTGGTTGTGTGGACGATAGTACAAAGCACCAGCTGGCCCTGCACCAGTCTCAAGGTTGCTCTATTGTTGGGGCCTCTGTGCCCAGCCACCTGGCCAAGGGCCTTGCCTTTCCCACTGCCCCTGCACTTTGCCAAGCTTGTCCTCCCCCAGGGCTGGCCTCAGGTGGCTGTTCACGGTTAACAACCCCGTGAACCCTGCTAAGAGTAAGAGAACTGAGTCCCCTAACTGCCATCATCTTACCTAGCACCGTCAGGA